CTACGATAATACTATAAGCCTACTAGCGAGAAGCACTGGCGGAGGCAAATATCATTAAAATTCACCATCACGTTTCATACTTATTTATTCATTCAAACTTTCTGTCGATTATGCCGAGCTCGCAATTTTATAAAACATTTTATAAGTCGATTAAAAAAATATGTATCTCTTTGAAAAATAAATGCATTAATAAAATTTATTAAATTACTAATTAATTAAATGAGAACTGAATTATTTTATTTTCACCGGATGATATAATTAACTGAAATTGGTGAGAATTATTATATCAACTCGCGTTGCAATTTTTTAATTTATTGTAATATCTTTCGCGTTTAATATTGTTGATTCAATAAAATTCATAATTAAAATATATTTCTATAAAAAGATTACAATCGCGCGCGCGCTTTTAAATTTAAAATTTTTAATTAGTATTATTAAATAGTTAATTTCATGTTTGAAAATATTGAAGCTTGAAAAAATAATGATTAAAATTTTATCTATAAAAAAATTTGTATACTAAAAGTAAGATTTTAGTCGTTAACAGGTTGAGCAAATGCAGTTTCGAGTATTCAGAAATTTGCATCTTTCTTGTAAGCCGACGCGACTGCGATAAAAGGCGGTATATGTCTTACGATTGCAACTGCAATTGTCCGTTTCTAACGTGCTAATGGATGCATTCCATCATGGTTGAACATGGGTCAAAATTACACCCATGGAACTTAACTAACTTGAAATTCGCTGACCGTGGAATAAACCGCTCATGAATTCTGACGTACAATGTTAAGATATTAGTTGGAATTATCATGCTTATATTTACTAGACTATTATTTATTAGCCATTATTTATATTAACGTAATTACCGTTAATAAGTGCTCATTTGCAGAGTCGACAATAAACTGCAGTTCTTTGAACTCTTCAGTTTTTAAATAAATACATTAGATATTGCTTCTAATTATCATTGGTGATAGTATATTGAGAAAAAATAATAGTTTGTATGTCTAGTAATTTAAATTAACAATAAAAATCAAAAAAGTTATATTAATAAAAAAAAAATATATATATACATATAACTGAGTATGTTAGTTTTATCGATATTTATAATAATTGCATTAAAATAATACAGAGCTAAATTATAATAATTATAATTTTGTTAATTTTAACATTATAACATTTTAACATTAATTTTAACTTCAAACTTCCTTGAACTTTTTTCACAATGTATCACAATAATTTAACAGTGCATCATTGTTTCATTATTGTTCTACACACATATACATTATCGCTTAAAAGCGAACATGTAGTAAACGAACAAACAACACCGAATGTGAATAAAACATTCATTTCGCGTTTGGTTTCATTTGCTTGTTAGCTGGTGCGCCAAAGAAAATTTCAAATAAACTTGATTTCACCGTTGCTTACTCGTTCGCTCGGCGCGTACACCCATTTTGATACCCGCATATTACAGAATTAGTATACATGTTGGTCAGCGCGATTTACTCCTCGATGCTCACTGTTTTCACGAGAAAGATCAACAAGAGAATGTTCTATACGCATCGAGTAGATTCTACCAGAGAACATTTCCCTTAATTAAGGAGCAATATCGAATATAGGTAGTATCAGCATTATTATCGTGGTTCTTGATATTCGTGATTTCCCATAAATGCATTCGAGCGAGGGCAGTCATTCGGAAGAGGAGATTGAAAGGAAAATCGGAGGTCGTTCATACAAATCCGCCTCCGCGTTATCGAGAAGAGAAATGACAAGAGGAGAGAGATGACAAGTGTCATTAAAAACGTATTTGCTTATCTCGTAGATGTATTGACGATCTTACACGATCATTACGATTCTATGTTTTTTTTTTTTATGGCAATAGAAGTCCTAGAGTTCTATCATATCTCGTTTTACGTTACATTTACTTAACAATGCATGTTAGATAAATAGATTAATGGCAGTAAATAATAAGTAATAAATAAATAAATAGTAAAATAGTAATCTCTCTCTTTTTAAAGGATATTTAGTTTTTCAAGAATATTTAAAATATACAATTTGTATATTATACCTATATAAAAATTATTAACATAAATATTTATTTCTTTTTATATTTTGTCATTTTTTAAAATAAAACTATATTAATAATTTTTTATATCGTTAATATAAATTAACGCAAAATCCCGTCCTCCCATCATCAGTAATGCTAGGATTACACAGTATGAGAATAAAGTAATATCCTGTTAGAGGAACATCCGCTAATTCCTACTAATAGACTCAATCCTGTACACCAAAATTCCATGGCGGTTAACCCCTCGGCTATATACATCTAATGCCTAAAGGCAAAGCAGTGGTTACGCCAGGTGCATCCTTTGACTACGTAACTATGAAGATGCTAGTAGTAGCTATATTCAGATCTGCATCCAATCTCAGTGTGCCCTCGTGTCGTAAGAGCTAAAGATAGAATGAGATAGTAAGTTCGCTTCCATCCGGCTTGAATGCGTTTGATCGAAATGCCATGCGAAACTTAAAAGTGTCAGAGAAGTTAGATACTTTGGATACGGATCTCATCGATAAAGTGCCGATACCGACATTTTATAAATGTATGATCAAAGAGTGCATCATGTGCAGTTCCTAAGAGATTTTCTACATCTACAAACGTATATTTGCGATTCGATGTAAATAAGAGCGTTTTACGCGTCGTTTTCTTTTTTAATATTTCATATAAATTCCAGTAAAAGTATTTTTAAATAAAAGTATTATAAATCTTTCTATATTATGTCCGTGATTTAAGTCTTCTTTTGTAACTCGTATTATTAACTTTTAAATATTATCTAAAAGTATTATATAAAAGTTATAGATAAGATTAAAAATACAGAAAATATATATGAAGGTATATAAAAGTATCTAAAGAAGTTAAACCGCAAATAATGCGTTCTACAAATATAATATACTAATGATTTCTCTCTTAAACAAGCATATATCTTTGCGGTTTGTTTGGTCAAGCAATATGGAATAATATGGTCCACACTAATACACGAAACATATCCAAATCTCGTTTAAGCGCACTAACAAAACAAATGGGACGCGAGATACGTACAATTTACGGCGACGATGCATGGTGTCTCTATATACGCAACACGAATAAATCCGCTAATTAATACCATGTCGTTAATTGCGATAGTCCGCGGGGAAACGTAGAATGCTCTCATGCCGCGAGAGACACGTCGATTAATATCGATTACATTCGTATCCATTACGACACGTGGCCGATTCGATACCGTAAAATCGTACGAGGCGATAACGAGATCTAATTCTGTCGCGCACTGCATAATGAATAGCGAGTATAACGAGCAATGACTGCTGTCACCTGTCGCCTCTCTGAGAACATATCGTGTTTTCTCACCGATATAGATATGAACACAATTAAATTGCACAGTGATACTTAATTATTTTTGCAATTATCCTAGTTATTAATTAATAATAATTAGGTATGTAATAAATAAATACTTAATGACAATAATTAAAATAATTAAAATAATGAGTAATTAGATATTTATCAGGTTTCGAACTAAACTGCTATGTGTATTAAATATGCCTACTAATGAATAAAAGATTCATAGGCATAACCAAAATAATTGTGTATTTAATGGCTGCAAATTATTATCTATTATTTTGATATATTAGTACGCAAATTTGCGCAATTAAAAATGTTTTCATCAGCAATTTATGCCCCGTGGAATCGCAATTGAAACAGATACACACGAGATGCAGTGTACAAAACTTAAATGTGAATTTTTTAACTGTGTAAAAGCTGAAAACTAGACCTATCAAAAAATAATTTCAAGCTTTTTTTTAATAAATATCTCAATTTTTATATAGGTGCAAATTTTTAAAATCAGCTACATGATCGAATAATGAAATACTGTTAAAGATTTTTCTTGTACTTGAAGCGTGCTTTCTCTTTCATGACACGCAATTTATCATATATAATGCAGAATTCGAACAGAGATTTATCAAAGGCGCGATAAAGCGTGAAAGTTTAATAATAGAAACTTTCCACAATCCATTAAAATTAAAAAGCTTGATAACTTTTAACGAGGGAGAATTCACTGCAATGGAATTTTAATGCAAAGTACAATGTTGAAAAATTAATAGATTGACGGGTATAGCTCAAATAAAGCATTATTCAATTAGTTTATTTCAGTATAAACCACTTGTTAATTGATTTTAATTAATGACTGGCTCAACGTGTTAAGCCCCTTGTGATTTTAAGAAAAAAAGTACATAAAATTAATATCATACTGTTTACAATTTTTAATAAGTTTTTTTTAATTTACTAAATTAAAAAATCGTAAAATATCTTCAGTTTCATAAAATTATGCAAACATTCGCATTTCACTGTGAACATATGCGCTGTCTACACTAGCATATTTATAATCGCGCTTCTGTCTGTATGGCAAGTCATTAAATCGAACTTGCAGTGTATATTGCACATTCCGTTGCATTCAGAGACTCAGTTTACTTTCTCAGCATATTATTCTTTCTCAATTATTACGGAAGAAAACGTAGATGCAAAAAATCGCGAACGCGATCGGAATAATCGTACTCGCGGTATTTCATTACGGGTCAATTATGACAGTAATGTGAGATGTTAAATTTCTCTTCGTTTTTCTGCTTGCTTCTCGTGCCAGTCGCTTTTACCCCGTTCCCCTCTCTCTTTCTCTACTGAGTATTAACCCGGTAGCCTACTTCTTGACGCCAACAGCCCGCAGGCTTTCGAAAATACTTCGTGCGGTTGTTTCCGACACGGCCGCTTTGACGCGAAATGCCGAAAGATAACGATGATAACTATTTTAAAATAATTTTGCTATAAAATAATTTTGACCACCAGATATTTGCACAAAATTGTTACATGGGGGGTATAAAGGCGTAGATTCCAAAAGTTTGCACGCATTCCCACGAATCAAAGTAAACCAAAATAAATCCACAGAAAATTGCTATTTGCTTACCACGTCGGCAGCGTTGCCGGAGCCCTCCCTCATGCCATCCCTGTCCGTGTATCCACCTGAAAAATGATAATTTATTTATAAATGTTATTTCTCGGTGTACACTTGAGAAAGTTTTTAAATATTTAATTTCACGCCAATTTCTTTTAATTAATTGTGGAAATTTCTTTTAATTAATTAAATTTGTATCTTTTTGTAGTATGCGGCATTTAATATGCGGTATTTAAAAATCTTATATTTTAGTAAATCTGCGTTTCAGATTTACTGAATTAACTTTAAATCGATGCGAAACCGACAAGGCACGAATTGGTACGGATTCAGAGCTCTAAAGAATAAAATAAAAAGATTGCAGAAAGATGAAGAAAATACGGCTGAGGACAGAAAAGGCTTGTTATCAGTCGGCTCGTGTACGACACAAATTGTCTGCATTTGGTCAAGTTGCCAGAATAGGCAATAAGCGACAATCGGAAGAGTTGCTGATTGGAATCGTGAAACGATCGATTCTGAGCGTAAAAACTTTTCCATCAGGTTTCTGCTGTAAATCACCTACCAACAACCACTGAAACGGAAAATTCCGTTCGTGCGTTTCATACAACATCTTTCGAATGTAAATACAGCTAATAAAGATAAATGGATTTAGCAGTACTGCCAGCGACGAATAGTAAATCTGATGTTTTTTAAGTTGCACGCTTTTATAATTCCTTGCATTTGATATAAAAAGCCTGTAAAAATTAAATTTACTAGAGCAAATGGAAAGAAAGTAATTAGATGAAACGGATGAAAGAATTAATAAGATATATAAATAATATTAGATAATATTTTCGAGAATTATTGAGATTAGTTCGTGTTAAATAAATTAAGACATTTTACAATCTAATTATTATACTTGAAAATTTTTTTATAATTTGTAATACATCACATAAAGAGTAACATTATTAAATGTAAGGGAAGTAAGGCGAAGGTAAATATATATTAATTTCATAAGTTTTCAATTATACATTACTGTTAACCTTTACACACTGAAATCGATAGCTTTCCATATAAAGGATTAAATTCTCAACTAGCACGCGAGTCGATTTTTCTTCGATTCGCTCGTGAAATGGGGTCTCCAGTGGCGGTATTGTGTATTCTGCTACTATGCCGCTTTCTCGCGAAAGTACACTAACCGAAGAGCGTATATAGTGGCGAAATCGTTCGAATCTCGTATTTTAAAGTATCATAGCATTTAAGATAAAATCAAAATGATAGAATCAATGCTCTAATATTAACGATTAGTAGCCAGGATTGATTGTCAGTTGACAACTACTAATTTCCAATTAAAATATTATCGAATAAGTTTCTTTTTAAGAATGTTAAAAACACGTGAAAGTTTGATATCAATCATTTTTAATGTTGTAACATGTAAGAGAAATTTCCAAAAGTATTATTTCTTATTTTTGTTCCATGCATAGTTTCTTATTTGTCTCATTCTGTTTGCGCGTTTTCTCTTGTTTATTAGCGGCATGTTTTTCGACGGAAGATTGAAAGTTGCCGAAGTCTGCTTCGCCGAAGAACGCCATGCGAAGAACTGTACGCGTGTGTGCATGGTGAGCAGGAAAATTTACTATAAATTGTGTGCCTGATCATCGCGAGTTTACTGCTTCGAGTAAAACCGTAGAATGAACACTGTGTATCTATTTTCAATAAAGCTATGTCTATTTTTAACGAGTAAGTTTTGTCCTATATCATATCTCTTGTATTGCAGAATGTAATAGCGAAATATATAAAATAAATATACTGAAATCTAAAATATAAAGATTTTTGCGATCTTGTTGCATTCACATTTTATTTACTTTTATTTATTTTATGTTTTCTCGCCTGGCGATTGGTATATGTACGATTTTGAACGCAAAATGTTTATCAATGCTTTGATCCCTAATTTATGATATTCACAAATGGGAGCTCATTAAAATTACATTAACCAACTTCGATTAGAACAGCTACAATACAGATTCGAACAAATTGCGTGATCAAACTATTCAAGCGGAACTAATGGTAGAATTGTTTGATCAATTAGTAACGCTCGCAAATCCAACCGCCCAAATCAAAGCATCAAAAACAGTTAACTTGCAATTATTACACAAGTAAGAATAATCAGTGTTTATTTCTTTCAAACGTTTGCAACGTGCGCAACTTTATTTTGTCGTTTTATTATTATTTTGTTTATAATTTCAGACTCGTGTTATTTATATATTTTGCTGGGTCCAAAGATTCAAGCGGTTTAAAGTCCGAGCTCGAAATTCAAAACTGTACGAATTGCTCGATCATCGGAAAACTTGGAGCATTAGCACTTTCGATCTCTGTTTACAATGGCACTGTGGCACTCACCTTTTTTACGAATTGGCAAAATCTTGGCGATCCTCGACGCGCCCGCGTAATCCAGATCTCGATCGAGGACTGCCGTCGTCGATTCAATATTCCGTTTTCCTCGCTCGCGCGCACCGTAACACCGATCCTTTCCGCTCTCCTTTTCCCAAGAGAGAAGGCTCTTTCTCTCTTAGCGGCACGATCCTAACCTCGCACTACACACTAACACAAGCACACGACTAACTGAACACGGACGCGAACGGAAATTCCCATCGATTCCCGTAACGTTGTCGTACTTGTCAAATCTCGACACTTTTGCACCACAGTTACTTAATCGCGACAATCAAAAACCGGAAAATTCAGCATCAATCCCGATCAACTTAATCTTCTTTCTCCGTTTGTCACACCTGGATCACTTAAGAAAGAACACTGAACTGATAATCCAAGCTCACTTCACACTCGTACTATTCATTGGAACTCGCCTCGGGATCGTTCTGAACATAGTTCGAAAGCGCCAAATTTTTGGTTAACTTCAACATCTTTTTTGCGCTGCTACAACTATGAAAAAAAGATATTTCATTATAAATTGATATAAAGATCGAAATCACGTTTCATTGAAGTTGGGTGAAGAATAACGACCGAAATTATTGCGTTGTCGATCCACGCGGCACCGAGTTGAATAAAGGGATTCGCGTACTCTACTACTCTCCTCTCGTTCGTTTTTGCTCGCTGTTTTTACCGAGATCGTTTACCTGTCACTGGCGAGTTCGAACTTTTCGCTCGGCTCGTGCGTATTACTCACGCGTTCGCGCACAGGCTTGCACCGACGGGCCGAAGAGACGCCTCTTTCGTTCGTAGTACGATCACCAGTCGAGTATGTTGCGGCGGCGACTTTGCGGCGGACCCGTCCGTCGACCGACGCGACTCGACGGGACCGGGACGGGACGAGACGCGACCGGAGGGCTTTCTCAAAATCGTCCATACGGCGGCGCGCTGTAGCAACGGCCGCGGGTTTTCTTGTCGTTGCCGCGGTTATAACGGGAGAGACGATGAGAGAAAAAAAACTGGGGGGAAAGAGAGCGAGTGTGCTGTGTACGAGAGCAATAACTACTTTTCAAAAATACCACGCACGCGGACCAATCGCGATACATGCGTACACGGCGATTCGGCGCGGCCGCGATACCACGACGAGCGAGAGCAGGACGGAAGGAGAAGAAACGAAGCCGTTACGCGCGCGCGCGCCTGCCCGCTTGTGCCCGTTCTCACTACGGATATACGTGCATACATACGACGTGCACGCGTGAACGGCCGCGAGAAACGTACGTTACGTTACGCGATAAACACAAATACTCACAAACACATGCACACGTCAGTCGAGTTCGTGATGACGGCGAGGCGCTGGCACGCTCGTCCATACAGACGCACGAAGAACGCGCGAGCGCCCGCGATCGTGTCACCGCTGCAGACGCGTACCGCGTCTCGCTCGCTTTCGCGCACGATAGCGACCAACCGGTGTCGGTCCAGAATAATCGCGCGCGCACACTCAGGCCGCGCCGGATTTACGAATGACCGGCGGCGAAGGGAACGGCAATTCCGAGCTTCGGGGAACAGCGTTACGTCCGGTTGAAATGTGACGCGAGCGAGCGAGCGAGCGAATGAGTGAGCGACCGACCGACCAACCGACCGACCGGCCGAGGTAACTTGAACTGAACGCTAGCGCGCCTACGGTAAACGAGATTAAACCTTCGTGCCGGTGGAGCCGCGGCGACGACCAATATGCGCCGACTTTTACGCAGACCGGCCAATCGGTGTGAAGTCTAACCTGGCGAACGGTTATCCCAGGTGCAGCAGTAAGGCGCCATTGCGTTGGCACATTACCTGCTTGAGGTGAGTGGAGAGGGGAGCGAGGTACGAGACGACGCGCGACGGACGCAGAGAGGGAGAGAGAGACAAAGAGTGTTTGGAGAAACGGCCGAATTACGCCGGACTTGAAAGAATTATATCGAGCACAGTGTTTGTGTTCTTTGCTGATCTTGGCGGTGATAGAAGCACAGCTCGCACCGAAGATATCAACGTCCGATGAAGGACTTCAAAGCGCTGTACATTTTTTTCGATCGTCCGAGACGTCGATATCGGATCGACGTGGGTGTTCCGCTTCTTTCATACACATACGCACGTACACGTATGCACACATACACCAAGCATGGCGACAGCCTATCTTTTAAACGCGCTCAGTATTTAATCTGACAATATGTCGGGAGAAAATAGAACTTGAATAAGAGCGGATTGTACGAAAGTAGATGCAATAATAAAAGGAAATTAAATAAAGAAATGAAATAATTTATATTGCATATCTTAAAAACAAATTGCCTAATAATATTACATGACTATACATGATATATTATATCATTTTATATTGATTATTTAATTTTTAATCTAGTGTTGAGTTCAATTAAATTAGTTTATATATATATATATATGTATATAACATATAGAATATACTCAAGATAATTGCATGTACTGATATAGCAAAGTAATAAATGGAAATAAATAAACGTATAAACTGGGTTACGAGTGCTGTTATTCAATATCTGAATATGTAATTAATAATGGAAATTACTATTAATTAATAATTAAATTCCTACTGAAGAAAACATATCGTATGGCAAAACATAATGAATAAATATTAATTTACCAATATTGACTGTATGCCAATTATTCTGTCACCATGTTTCTCTCACCGCGGTTGAATTAATTTAACAAATCTAAAATAAAGGAGGAAGAGCATTTATCACTCTAAAGCAAGTTTTAGAACAAGAAAAATGACGCCTATCTAAATCAAATGGAAGCGATGAAGCCTCAAGAAATGCGATGCAATAATAGCCACGAAGGCTATGCATAATGAAAGCGATATGGAAAAGAAAGATGAAAAGAGAAGTTACGAATATAATAAATCCCATTTTAGCTACCGTTACGAGTGAATTACTTACGAGAAAAGAAACCGGAATGAAAAGACTTCACATTTGCATTTTTCGCCGTCTTCATATCTATTAAAGAGATAGGATCGAGACGACATAGTGGTTGATAGCATAGGAAATTTATATTTAAAATAACATCTCTCTCGAATAACATTGAACGGCAAGTATGCTAACCGTTTAGACTAACTGCGAACCCGTTGTACACGATTACGCGTGTGCTTATGTTTTCGAATGACCGGTAGATTATCTCGGCTAGGCGCCTGGAGAGCGAAAGAGAGATTATTCGTTCAAGAAGTTGCAAGGTAACGCCGTTAGATCGACGGCATAATTCCCGCAGCAATCGATCTTGAGTTTTACGGCTCGATGCGCCGTAACTCGTTTCTTCATACCGCAATTTCGTAGATTCGATTCTGAAATCTGCTCGTGCAATGCCGATTCTTCCGCAGGGCATTCAATCATTTCTTATCCGAGCGAACGGACTTGGGAAGTCGCTACTCATTGTCGTTGATGTAATATTACTTTAGAATCTAACAGGGGGAAGAATGGCATGTTAAGTCTGAAAAATGTTGAGCTTAAAAATGAGCAATCGATTAAGTCTCTTATTGAATATATATTTTGAATGTAATATTATAGCGTGACACACGCTTAAAGAAATCCGTCTCATGATATTCATTCATAATAGGTCTGACAATTACGTCTATCACCTGCGAATGTTCGTTCTTGAAGCGCGGAAAATTGTGGTTTAACTATTTTAACAGGCACACAGTAGTTTTGGAGTGTAATCTTCAAACAATTGCCCGCAAACATGAGATACGACTGCAGCGGAAATGCTTTCAGTGTTATTCTTGAATTGAAGACAGTACTCGACAACGAAATACAATCTAAACTTTCTACAGGAAGCAATGCGAGTGTCAAACCGGAATAAATTTGGAAAACGGGAAAAACTTCGTCAACTTCAAAATACATTATTTCGTCCGAACTGTTTCATTAAAGATTATCCTACATTCCGAGCTCTTTGAATATGCGCAGCTATATATACATATATATTTTAATAATGCATGACAATGAAGTCGAATGCGAGCCGAATCTTTATACTGTTTAGCATAAACTTAGCATAATTTCACGCCATCAAAGGATAGCATTGCCATAAAAGGGAAAGTGCCGCTTTCTTAATGACATGCCAGTTATATTGTTTCCAGATGTCTACCCTATTGTGTCCCGTTGTGAACTTCCTCGTTCGTGTGCGAAAATTTTAACGCTAAGTGCACATTGAATCGCAGACGATGCTGCGACACGGAGGAAGCAGCAATAGATTTCTGCGTCTCGTTATTTTAAATTAGAGAGAGAGCTCGGAATTCCGAGAACGAGTGCACTAGCGAGTGTGGTACCTGTGTTATTCCTGTATTTATTTCAATCTGCTCACGGATGGATGCTAGATGCTGAAATATTCATTTAGAAGCATATATATTCGTTATATACACACACAGCATGTAACAAAAGTCATGAATTTTCTATTGCACAAAATATTAGAGAAATAGAAAATGGACAAAGAAAAAGTAATGTCGGTCTAAAAATTTCTAACAGAAAAAGCTTTTCCAAGCTGAGTTGAAGTGATGTTAAAAAACAATATATTTCATTTTTCAAAATTCCAAATAAACGCTTTGTCATAATTTTCATTTGAGATTCTTTGTTAACTATCATTGAAATATTTAACATTGAAACTAGAATTAATTTTTCTCAGGACATTTTACCATAATTCTTATTTGAAAAGTTATACGAAAGCGTTTTCTAATCGTGTTCTAATATTATAGTATTTTGAAAATATCGAGAGCTAACAGTGTAGTAATACGCAAGACCTACTTCGAGTTTCTATCTTATGACATGTTATATGGTGACAAGAACGTATCGCATTCTCGCTACCATCAGCAAAATTTAATGTCCAGCTATCACCTGTCACTTTCCTATCGATCCACTTCGACGCGGCTCATTCAATCGTCGCTAGGTAACGTTTCCATATGTAAAGCGAGAATTACAAGCGGATTGCAATTTATACAGAAGATCGTTATTCATTAAAGATATGTCATCCCACACGATATTCTATAATTAAAAAAAGATTACGTGACAACAAATTTCCGCTCTATCCTTTTGTGCTTTCTAAATATTCATAGATTCAATTTCTACAAAGCTCTGAGATTCTAAGACTCGACTAAGAGGTATCTGCAACACGCGCGATTGAGAGATTAAAGCATCTTTCCGGTGTCTTTACGACGTCAATCGGGGATTTACGAGCATTGCTCATCCGGCAGGTCGGAAGAAACATCTTCCTATTTCCCGAAGCGAATTCGAAACGATGATTGACATAGTGGCGTGTGGAATTTAATTGTAGAGACCAGTCGATTGCTCCTGCGAAGCCCCGCAACTCTTCACTAATTGGATCTGACAGGGGTGATGGAGGGAAGGGGAGGCCGGGGTTGGCCAGTAAATCGAATTAGCAGTTAGCTCGGTTATTTACCAGCATCAGACGATTCTCCGCGAGACACGTTCCGCTCAAGTGATTCTCGAGCTCCCTTGCTGCAGGACAGACGTCCTGCGGTGAAACGAGGCGCGGAATTGATCGGTAAAGACATTGTGCATCTCACGGGACGTGTTGTCTCTTGCTCTTATCCAATAAAAGCATCCCTCGAGCACGATTAGAGAGCAAAGTAAAAAGGAGAAAAAGATATAACATATGATAATGAAGAGACAACGCGAAAAAAATCAAAAAAATCCTCATAATCACGGCATGAAGTCTAAAGATTTTATATCAACTTTAGTGAATTCTTTACTCAATGTATCTAGATATAAATAAGTAAAGATATATGTGTTTTTAATCAAAGGTTTTGAAGAGAAGTCTCTATCCAAATCAAAATAGTTTCTCAATTGCAAATTTAGCCTTTAAAGTTGCTTCATATCCTGGGCGGTTACGAAGAGTTTCCTACGAACAGCACTTAACTGGCAACTATCTACTTGCGGTAAGCATGCCAGATAGTTTTGCCGGAAATTAATTGAGAGTCGCAAAATGCGCTGCGTCGCAGACCGGCGCGATTGAGAAGAAAATTCCGCAAACTTGTTCGTTACAAGTCACCCCCATCGCGATCGATCCAAGAATTCCATATGCATAGTACACATTACTAGCACCGTAGATTATCATCAAAAATATATGCGACATAAATAATTTGAGAAAGTTGTGTTTCCTTATCATAAACTACAAAATCTTGAATCAATCTCTTGCAAAAATACTAACGTAGAATCAGTAGATGAACATTCGATATCAAAATAATCACTGTATTTTTCTCTATATTTCTCTCATATTGTATAAAATTTTCTCAAAATTATAAAAACAATATAACAATACAATCAAAGCTATTATCAGAATTAACGATTATTTACTGATAATCGTGTTATTTTATTTTTTTAAATTTTAGATAATATAATTCTTAAACAAAATAAACGATATTCCCGAGATTTACATTTTATGCAACATTTAAAAAATAAATATAGGAAATAATATTTTCTCTCTTAATATAAAAATAAAACCATCTTTTCTTTCTCTTTTCACGCTTTTACTTCCATTTTAATAAAATTTGCTACATTTTGCGCACTTAAAATGAAATAAGTACACACTCGTGTTTTATAGACGTAAAGACGAAAAAATACAAGCAAATAAAATATAGCTAAAAAGCACACAGCTATCATCTTTAATTTATTTTTACATATTAATGAATGAATTCAAAAAATTAATGCATTGCATAAGTGAAAGAATGACAATTAAATTTGATCAGTATATATTTGCAGATTGTAACACGACCAACAGTTGCAATTTACGAGCATAGTTCTCAATTATCATTATTCCTCCAAAAATTACATTTCCTACTGCTAAAAGAAATGGCGTAAGTTTGAAAACGAATCTCAAACTGGAACTTTTGATAAAAAGAATCGTGGCTAATTTAAATGACGATTAATTACTCAGATTACGCGGCTCTCAGGAAATCGCGCGGCCGTATTTTCGGTTAGTCGCGAGGGAGAAACTTCGGTTGGAGAATAGTCGGAAATGTTCTGGGATTCTTCCCAGGATGACGCGCAATTAAAATAACGAAACACAACAGCTCTCACGTAATTCCTAAAGATCCATCTCTTCCCGCGGTTCGTACATTAATGAAGACATTACACCATGGTCTGTGCTTGACCTCGTATTTAAAAATAAGCAAATAAGAAGGTAAGAATATGAGACACTGTATAATGTAATCTTAACTTTCTACAGAAAAAATACATGTTTTGAATGTGTGATATTTCAAACAATTAGCATAAAATATTTAAAATTGTTCTTTGTAAAATTAAACTATCGCTATTCGAATCTAATTTTATACATGTTAGGTATATTCTAAATCTTTCCTTTACAAAAATCAAATTTTTATGACGCAACCTTAATTCTGCAATCAAAGTAAAAGAAAAAAATGTCAACAATGACAAAAATCATGATGTAATTTAATGTAACAGAATTTATCATCCATAAACAACAAAAGAAGTATTCAGATTCCAATAAATTGTCTTAAACATGTGCGAAATTTCTTTTAGGGAACAGTCACAATATTTTAAATTAATTTTAGATGTTTTATTGCTCGAACAGTATTGTTTTTCATTTTTGTTCAATCTTCAATATTGTAAATGACTATAAATAAAATTTTTCGTTCAAATTCATCTTAAAGTTTATAAGAGAGAAAAGATTTCAAAATAATAATTGCAATTGTAGTGGATGATCTAATAATGCCGGAGCGCATCTGATGCTCTTTGAAATTGTTTCGTAATGAATGAAGATTGTTAAAGCGAAATTGGAACTTTCTAAATAACACAGGATTCCATTTCTCGAATTATGTCTATAAAGTGAGCTTTGTCGCGTAAATTTGTACATGGCTATTTAACGCTGAAACGTAGCAAATTGAAAAAGAGAATTATTTTATAAATTTTTCTGCAATTTTGTTATATAAAATGTTAAAGCGAAATTGGAACTAAAGAGGCAATATATCCGAAAAAAATATCTCTCTAATCTTTTTTGTAACATTCTGTGTTAATTTTTTCTATAACATTAAAAAAATCTCTCTATATAAACTCGAAATAGATTTTTATTATAGAAGGCTAGTCATCAATATTTCACTTAAGAAAAAGAATAGATTACTGTGATTATATGATGCAACATAACGATATAAAATCAATATCAATAAAAAATTATCCATAATTTGAGATAAAATTACATATATCTCTTTTGCATTTTTTTGTATTCTTTATGTGCTTCTAGATATAATGTTTTTAGTACGAAATTCGCACTTCAGAGAGATGAATAAAAATGCTGACACGTGAATTTATAACTTTCGAAATATAAACTACTGAGAGTGGAGGGTTTTCTACAAATTAAGTTAAAGATAGGATTTGACACATCGTGTGATGTATAAGCCAACAGAACCATGTCTTTAAAATTTAGTGACAACTATTCGTCAAGGCGCAAAACCGAGAGATATGTGTAATGTATATCATAAAGATAAGCCTGTCGTCAGAACAAATGTGAGTGCAGGTTCCATTGCAAGATATCAGAGCAACTGTATATTCTGTGACCATATACATGATATATACTATGCAACACACGAATGTCTTAACATTGGATGTACGAGATGCATTTGTCTCCCAGTATCTTTTAGAAGTTAAAAATATACATTAAAATTAGATACTCATGTATAATAATCATTTGTAAGTCGCCACAGAAGTAGATAACAAAAAAAATGCAAAAATTAATTTCTTTTATACCGCTTATTAAATCAAATATAAGATTAATGACGAAAATTTTAGAAAATATTTATTTTAATAATAAAATTGCAAGAAGCAATATATTGAAATACGGTTAATTATATTATAAAACAATCATAAAACAAATTATAAAACAACATATACATATCTAATAATAATATATTAATATATTAATTGCATATATTAATTGCATTTTTGTTGCATTTAAATGTGAAAATAACGTTCCGTGAAATATATGAGAATTTTAATCGTTCTAGAAATACAGAAACAGATCATCGATACAAAAATCGCAATATTAGCGTATAATAGCAATTATACACGATGTTTATACATTACAATGAACACAATATTTCCGATAATTTTTCGCACGTGTAAGATTCACTTTTAGATAGTAATATTTATGAAAAATGTCGACCGATTTAAATTCTGCTGTGATATTTTATAAATAACCACTATTGGAAATGTATCGAAGCACGATATTGCGATTTTCGAAGTATCAAAAGCACTGATCGCATATTTCACGCCGTATATATACTTGTTTGTTTTAGTTGTATTTTTCTATTTAAAATAAATATATAACTAATCTTTAGAATTATTTAAGAACAACTAATTTTGTGCAACTAAAACTTTACACAAAACTTCAATACAGATGTAAAATTTGAAATATTTTTATATAAAAAATAATCGAAATAATAAATTATTACGGAAAGTTCAATAATAGTTAATTCAATAATAGAATAATATGTAGGACATACCTGGCGATGATCGTATATCCATTGTATTTTGGTTGCGTTTCAACGAACAAAATAACCTCAGAAGTAAGGAACGAATTAGTAAACATGGAAGAAAGATATTAGTTGAATCTAGAAACAGAAATGAGTTGAATGAGTTGAATTAGAAGATTTGAAAGTTAAAGAATATAGCTCAATTGCAGAATGATGATATGTAAACACACTTGACGATGATTCCGATGATGTAGCCATAGTGTTTTGTTTTTACTTCGCAACAAAATAACCTCAGATGCGGAAAGATTTTGATTGATTTTGAAGACACAGAAACAAATGATCGAAATGCGAAAACAACATATGATAGCGGCTATACTCAGCATTTATGTTACACCAAACAGTTTATAAAACACTTTCGATCTTTTGAAAGTAAGATTTGTCCCTAAACAAGTAAAATCACGAAAAATACGAAACGATTTGAATGCGATGTTGCAATTGCTGTGACACGATCTGTAACTAATCACCGTTTAAAGAAGCAACGACCCAGTGAGTCAATTAATTGCTATATTCACTAATAATATTCAAAATATTTTAATATTATTTAAATTAAAAATATATTATTTGCGCCAAGATATTATGTTATCGATGATGGAACAGAATTCTTACAATTGAACAGACAGATGTCCACATGAACTGGCATGCCAGTTGTTATCAATAGAGAGTTTAGCAAGTATCGATAAAATCCTTTTTTGCTACCAAGTTGCTCTAAAACATGTCAGATGGTGTTAGACGCGAATAAACAGCTGTAAATAGCTTTCTAACCTGCGAGATTACGCACGTGTTATTGTGGAGGACCTGGGAACTTTGAAAGTTATACATAAATTTATTAAAAAAAAACAGGAAGAATAATTGAATAAAATAAACATACTTGCAAGTCTAGATGTAACTGTGTATGAGATAAGTCTTTGAGTTGGAAGCACTCTAAAAAAAAAAAAATTTGCACGTATTATTGTATTGTGGATTTAATAATGCAAAACTTAAAGAATATTAAGGAAAAAGAACTTCATACATTCTTAAGTGACCTGAGAATATTGAAGCAAAAGGGCGAGTTGGATACCGATGAGAAATTGAAGCAACAAGATGTTAAATGGCGAAATACTTTGGAGTATTGTGTTTTAGAATCATGTATTAGGCATTACAGTAAAGAGGTAATAGTTTATTTATGTTGTAAATAATATACGCTTAAAGAATTTCAGAAATGTTTATGCCAAGTAATAAAGAAATAATTTTGCATATTTTTTTATTGCACAGTGTAGATTGGAGACATTGGCACTTTTGGTGGAATCAAAGAAAAGTACATTATGTTTTACACAAATGGAATTGCATATAATTTGTTTATTTCTAAAATACAATTTGTGTGAAAAGATGGAATTTATACCCTTTGTTAAAAAGGTAATAAAAAATATCAGTATTATGCTTCAACAAAATTTGATTTAAATTAAATTTCTTATTTTTTATAGGCTTTGAAGCGATTGAAAGATAGCTTGGTTGCTATGAAAAGACAACTGGCTCAAGAAACAAAAATGATAAATCGTCTCAAAGAACAAGATATTATTTCCGAAACAATTCAAAATGCTTTGGATTTATCTTATCACAAATCTATGGAAATTGAATCCAATATAAAACATTATACTTTGTTTGTCATAAATTTACGCAAAATTTGCGTGAAAAATTTATATCCTGATGCAACATACAATCGTAGATGCTCCAGTTTACAGATACTTTTACTGGAGCAAGAGCTTCTTTCTGATGAATTCAAAGATATTAAATGGAGAAAAGAGCAAGCTGAAACAATATTTCATTGTTTACTTATGGATACTTATGAACCCAATAAGGAAATGGCATATCAAATATTAAAAACTATAAATCCAACATTGTTGCACTTGGATTTAGAATCCCATGTTCAATTAATAATTAAAGTTGCTCTTGAATTGGATAACAGTATACGACCCATAGACAGCATTACAGCTGCATACATGTTAAAAATTTCCAAGTTGTCTCCTGTTATAAGAAATGTACTCTGTAACTATTGCAATGTAGAAGACAATATTAGTGAGACAATAACACTACATCTAGTGTTGCTGTTATATGGAAAATTGCAAGTACATATATATCAAATATAACATCTAATACTATGAAAACTATGTTTACAATATATAGAATATTTTGTTCTTATTTTCAGAAAGCATTAGTTTTAGCAAAAGAAAATATAGGGATGGCAATTGTCAAGTGTTCCTTATATGGATATTTATTCTGCATAAAGAGCTTGCTTCTTGACTGTAATTTGAGGTAACTAAGACATAATATGTGTTGTATTACTGATTTATATAAAAATTTATTTAATACAAAATTATCTTTGCTTTAGGGATACAGGAACAAACAAATTATGGCAAAATACTATAGCCAATATCATATTATTGTGCTTTGAGTTAAATCATACTGTTTCTATAGTAGTAAATAATTCCTCACCAGAAGGACATTTGCCAATGGATTTAAAAACATTAAGCCTAGACGATGATGTGTCGTATCCTGACAAAGAAATTGTAACACCGCAAATGGTTTTACTTTGTTCTTGGCGTACTGTTAAAGAAGTCAGTCAATTATTTGGATTGTTTGCCACCAAGGCGTCAATACAAAATTGTGAACCTGCAGGCGGATTATTGACAGAGGAACAGGTGAGAGTATTCATACATATATTATATACATATTCATATATTTCCATGGTTAAGTATAACATAATATTTTAATGTATTAACAGATTGAGCACATAATGAGACATTTAGTTTCATTATTATGCGAAACAAAACACAGAGGTGCATTTGAACAGGCCTATGTCGGTTTTCATCAATTATGCACTCGATTATGGCGATTAACAAACACGACTTTAAGCACATTGCCTATACATTGTTTGCATGATATCTTAATAGGTATTACAGGATTAATGCCAGGATATTCTAAACTATGTGCAACAAGAAGAAGTGCAGGTGTTCCATTTATGATACAGGTACGTGGGAAAATTAATAGTAAAATTTTATCGAAAGAAAACTTTGAAATATAATAATAAAGCAAATTTATTCCACATACATAGGCTGTGTTATCTTCAGAACCAAAAATCCATGATAGTTCAAAGTCTGCCTCTCACTCAGTTATGAAAATTTTATTACAATTCTCGGAACTCGAAAATACAGTTAACTTATCGCAAAAAGTGAAAAGCATAATGTACAACAATACAATATTTTCCAAGTACGAGGATGTAATGGATATGATAATAGAAAATGAAAGAGAATGTCATTATGAAGAAATTAAATTTAATATTGGCGAGATAAAAACTCATTCTATGAACATTCTCAGAGCTTTATTTAGACATTCTCAATTAAGAGACATGGTTAAGAATTATATTGCTGATGGTTTGATGGTGGCATTTAAAAATTATGACAATAAAATATGGGCGGTAAGTAGAGCTACAATTTTTATGAAAAATGTTGATATTATTTACGAACTACTTTTTACGCAGAGAATAATATTTAATTGAAATATAGGAACGTAATGCGGCCACGTTATTATTTAGTGCGCTTATAGTCCGAATTTTTGGCGTTCAAAGAACCAAGGATCATATCAATTTAACAACAGATAACAAAATGACAGGGAGGATATTTTTCGAAAGATATCCCAGTCTTCTACCTTTTATCCTGGATGAGTTGCAAACTTTTGTATCAATTAATGATACTATGATAAAATCGAACGTGCAGGCAATTTTATTGTTATTGTCACGATTGTATATTAATTATCATGTTGACGAAACGGATATTGGTTGGAAGGTGTTTATAAACAATTCAATTTTTCTGCTGTTTTTTGTTAAAGATGAACTATATAACGACGACAAGTGTGTTTCCAGATAAATGAATTTGTTAATTTGGTATCTCAGTGTGCTAAAAGCCTTGTATACAAAACGCGTGAACTTGCAGCCAGAGCATTGGTGCCATTATTAACAGAGAATACAGCCTACAGCATTGTAAGGAAATTATTTTTAGTTTCATCTACAGCACGAAATACTCGGATCTCTGCAAATTTGTTGCATGGTTATTTGCTACAGGTAACTTTTAATTAGCTTTTAATTAACTTTTAATTTTGACAGGCAAAATTTAATTAATGTTTGAATATATAATTTAGACATTAGAATAGAGTTTTATGAATGTATTACAAGTTACAAAAATAATTTGAAACAATAATTTAAGTGTCTGTTACTTATATATATAATTTCTGATTTTTAAAATTTTTAGATATTAGAGATCCTGACAAAACTGCCGTCTGTCGACATTCAGCGGTTAAAATCTGACATTACGAATTTTTTAAACGCAACTGATTGGATATTAAAAGATTTAGAAAGAAAAGTCGATGGGTTTGGTTGTTTTCCGATTGCTACTGTATACGTCGATATTCTGCATGAATTATATAATTTAGATAAAGACATGTAAGATAATTATTTTACGGAAGCTATAATAATTGAGATCAATTTATCTAATACAATTTTTATGTTTTTAGGATTGAAAGTTGTAATATACAGAATATATTGTATATATTGCAGCAACATTTAATCGAGACCGATTTGTTAAAACAAGAACCAGGCGAGCAAATGTACAAAATATCTGCAATTAAATTTGTGTTGTGCGTTGACAAATATTCAAATATTTTACAAACAGAGTTTAATGGACAGCGTAAAGCATTTCACATATATTCGCAAATTTTGATTACCCCAGAAGCTCAGATACAAAGCATCGCGTGGACTACCATTTTTGACGTACTAAAGAGAGAACACTGTCAACAACAGAGAAAACTATTGAACACTTATGCTATTCGTACAGTCGCTGATTTTACTGAAAATTTATTTAAATCTAATCCTGAATTGCAAGATGCGATTTTCGATTTCTTATATAACGGTTTAATAGACATAAATAAATGTTGTATTGCCGACAAACGTGAAATTTGTAGCTTAGTTATGAAAAACATACATTCACGTGATGCAAGCAATACTTATTCCCAACGTGTTAATTATTTGAGGTTGCTAGGAAAATGTATGGCGACATCAATTCACGAGTTAAAGGTTTGCTCATTACTTTGTTTTATCTATTATGTTGTATTTTTTGTTTCTTGGTTTTTTATTTTTGTATTTTTATTGTATTTATATCTGTTTTAGGACGAGGAGCTTAATATTGAATATAAAGAGAGCGTTTATAGGAAAGTCTGTGACAGTAGTTGGATTGGTTCGTTAAGTGAAGATTTCAGATCTTCGGTTTTTGACATACTATATGATCTTTTTACTAATGATATTGATCTCGATCATTGCCGTAAGTTTGTATTGAGAATTGCTGCAGTTAACAAAATTATCGATTAATTTAATGATATAATAAAAGAAATATTTTTATAGATCCCATGTTAGATTGGTGGACTATGATGTTACAATTATTGATTGATGATAACGCGGACATTCGACAAGAAGCATCGAAGCTGATTTGCAGGATTAAACCATGCAATGAACTGGAGTGTATCGAAAGTACTTTGCCGGTATTTTTTCAGAAATTTAATGCAACGGTCGCTGATAAATATCCTGAAATTGCGATTAGCGCTCTTCTCTGCTGGAGTGTTTGTTTATTAGGAGAGACAGATTATGAAATGGATGAAACGGATGTAAGTTCTAACATAATGACGAGATATAACGAAAGAAATTTAATTATTAATACTATTGTCTGAATGTTTGTTAATAGGTATTCAACAAATGTAGGAATTACGATGTCTTTGAACCTGTGCAGATATCAATATTATGCTTCGATTTGACGAAATCAATAGTGCAACGATACTCTATTGATAGCGTATTACCACCAGACGTTGTGAGATGGATAAATTACCGTTTACAAATTACCGATTTCTCTGAATTATTGTCTTTCAAAGACATTGTTTGCGATTACAAGAATAACATGCCAACAATCGAAAGAAAGCTGGACGAAATTATAGATCCGACATATAGGGATAAATTATTGCAACTTTTAGCATTCGAAAAATATATGTCATTATTATAGTGTCGAATCTGTGCATTTTGTCACATAATCGATAACTTAATGTTATTTAATTATACGCTTTCTGATAAATACACAAATTTGATAAAATTCAAGTGTTTATTATTTAGAATTGAAGAAAATATCACAGATATATATAAACAAAAAATGCGCACTTTTAAAAAATAGTCTTTTAAAAATTATTATAATAATAAAGTTTCACATTTTTATTTTATCGTGTATTCGATATTTTTCATTTTTTAGAGAAAATTATATTAAACTTGAATAATTATAATTAATAGATTATTTCGCGCTATTTCTAATAAATACTGTTTGAAATTTTAAATAATATGATTGACTGTGATTGGTTCATTGTTTCAAACGCTTCGAGAATAATGCATTTCGGCAGACTTCGGACAGATTATAAATGTAGTGGTTAGCCATGAAAAACACGATGCGAATTCATGATCAAATCGCTTCGCATTTTTTGCTTTTGTTATCGCCTAAAGATGAATTCTGCGAAGAAGATATTATCGAAAGTGTTTCATAAAAAAAGAGATCCAGCTTAAATACTGAATATAATCATACAAACACCATCCTCACAAAATCAATCAGAATACTGTTCACGTATCTGAGGTTATTTTTTCATCGAAAGCAGCGAAAATATTATCGAAACAATCATCGCCAGGTATGTACATTATTATTCTGTAATTTACAGTATTGTTAATTTTTTTATAATAACGTTTTATTATTTTGATCATTTCTGAAGCTTATAAAAATATTTTAATTTTTATTTCTGCGTCAAATGGTAACTTTATTCAATTTAGTTGCACATATTTATTGTCTTTGTTTTTTCTGCCTCCCGAAAAATTAGTTATAAATATGTAAAAAATGCAATTAAACTACATATGATGTGAAATGCATGATCACTGCAATGCTTTAATTATTTCGGCATTCGCAATATTCGCAGAATCGCAATATCGTGCTTTTTTAATGTTAGTTAATTATGGAACGCATCGTGTCGGATCACAACAGAGTCGTGTTCGAATCGATCCGTATTTCTCGTAATCGTTACCGTCTAAAAGTAAGCTTCAAGAAATTATTATAGATCTAATAGAGCTTTATGTTGTTGTAACAAGATGTCATCACCGGCGACAGCCGAGTCAAACCGAATTCGGTCGAGCAAGGCCGACTTGCGTGCGTATTTCGCGACGCGATGTGCTACCGTACGATTACACCTCGTACTCGTATTTTTTCTATTTTTCGCGCCATCGTATCGTGACCGTCCGCGTTTTGTGCGTGTCGATGCTCATTGTCTGCGTCTAACGGATGACGGCGCGTCGACGCGCCTCCCGCCGACTGTGAGCTACGAAAAACCAGGCGCATACCCTCCCCGCGTTCCGCACACGGTGTACGGTGCCCGTATCGCTGGTGGTGTTCGACAGGAGGAGGCATGGAGTGTATTCAGTGCGCCCGTTTCAAATTGTCACGGGCCGTTACCTCAGCCCCCCTCGCAGCCAGGTGAGTGCGTCTCGTCACGCTTTACTCGGCGGCGCGGCGAAGAATTCTCGCGACCGCGAATCGTAGGTCGTTGTCGTCAGCGACGAATGCTCCGCGCGAGACGGAGGGAAATAGAGACAGCTCTGCCTTCCTACTCTATCCTATTCTCTGGTGCTCACCGTTCGGCACCTGACCTACTTGCGCGCGAGCTGTCACCCTACCGTCGGTATTCCGGCTGGCCGGCTAGCCCTTCGGAGCGTGTTCCTCTTTGCTCGGCCTGTCTCGTGCG